AAACTCAGCATTTGTAGTGGTGGAGGCTGGAGCCACTCCATTCAGAACTCCCTGCACATGGTTTGCTTCAATGGCGTGGACCAAGATTCCTGCTAGGTCCCTTATGTGAATCCAGGGGAAGAACTGGTAACCTGAGCCAATGGGGCCTCCTAGGCCCAGGCGGACGGGCAATAGCACGTGACCAATGGCACTGTCCCTGCGGCCCAGCACAACCCCTAGAACAGACAAAACAGATGATTGAGAGAGGCCCCTCAGCCTCCAGGTAGCCCGGTGGTTCTGCTCCTCCCGTTTCCCTTCCTCACTCTGCAAGCTGGTTTATGATTCAGCCTGCAGCAGAGCGAGGGTGTGGGGCATTGGGATGTCCATCCTCCTATCTGCAGACCGGTCAGAAGTGGTGGCACTCTCCCACTCTGCAAGCGCAGCCCTCTGATACCCCCACGACCCCAAGCTGGTTGAAGGAGGTGGATCCTGTCTGATACCCAACCCCGGCTTCTCACCGGACCGCACCACCACCTGGCGTGTAGAGTCTCCAGGAAGCCTGGCTGCAGCTTCCCATTTGGTTACTAGGTTGGAGAAAAAGTCAAAATCCCCCCCGGGGCTGTCCTCATCATACTCCTAGTTCCACCTTCTATATGGTCTTAAAATGTTGATATCCTTCAAAACTGGGTTCTAAGGACAGTCCTCTGTCCCTCGTCTCAACTTTTTATTGCAAACTTCTATGTTGGTGATAAGGTCTCAGGGGGAAGGGAAGGGCATCGTACCTACTATGGGAATCTGCACATACCCACACCTCATAGGCCACATGAAAACACCTTGTGAATAATAATCTGTGTTCTTTGACTAAAACTCTTGTTTTGGACTGAAAGTTTTGCCCCTGTGGCACCACCAGAAAGTGCTAGGCATTGATACCATCAGGAAAACAGGATGTTTTTCCCAGGCCCAAGAAAAACGGTATACCTGGGTCAAGATGACAACAAACTCTGGGGACATGATGAAGACCAGGGCACCAACTGTGATGGGCTGTTGTGGTGGGAGGTTCGCATATGCTTAACTGTCTTTGCTTAGTTCACTAGAAAAAGGTTGGCTTGAGATGGGATGTTAAAGCGGGCTTTGGGGATAAAATAGCCCCATTCCCTCAGATCACTGGTTTTCTGGCAATAAAGTGTGTTTGATAGATTCAATTCCTGTGTCTGTTCAGTTGGCTTCAGGCAGTGACAGCCAATCCCAGATTTTTCTGTTACATTCCTGTGAGTGGTTCTCCAGCACTGGGTCTGAATGATCATGATCATGTACTTTGTGACCTGGGGATCTGGGTCCTATGTGCTCTGGTTCCAAGGCTTCTGGGAAGATCTTTCTGATACATGTACTCTCTCTCAGTTTTTGTCCTGGATCCCTACGAAGATGTTTCAGAAAAAGTTTCTTGCTCTTTGTCTTTTAGGTTAATCATATTTGTTGTGAAAATAGGTGTACTCACTTTGAAATCCATTCATTAAAAAGTACCCAGGCATTTACAGTCTCACAAAACAGGTGCACTGCTGTCCTTTGCTGTAGGCACGGTGCTGTGCTGCATTTCCCATTGCCTCAAGGCTACATTCCACCAGGGCTAGAGGAGGACAGTGACTTGGGTGAGAGAGGGCAGGGGTTTCAGAAGCCTGGCCCTCACCCTTTCTCAGGTGATTTCAAGGAGAAAGGAAGGAAAGCATCATCTTTTTGTATTTGATATTGTGTTGGAAATATTAAAACATGTCTAATTATAAAAAATTTAGGCATATACAAAAATAGGGAGGATTATACAGAGAACTTGTCTTCAACAAATATATGTACATAGCCAATTTTGTTCCATTTACTTCTCATTCCCCTTCACATGCTTCCCCTTTTCTCTCATTATTTTGAAGCAAATCTCAGTCACTGATATTAGGTATTTTGCTCAAGGTCTCACACATGTCAGAACCAGGATTTGCGTGAACCCAGGCTGTCAGTTCCAGAGTTAGCATGCTTTTGCCACTGTACCTTACTGCCTTTCAAAGATAATTTTGAGTTTCCAGCTCTAATAGCACAGTGAACCCAGGATTAAGTGAGATGGTACGTATGAAATTTGCATTATTCTGTACAAATGACACATTTTCATAGTTTGTATTTTTCTCAATGTGAGGTTATTATATATTTTTTCCCCAACAGATTTTAGAGAAGTTGTGCTGCTCTGGGTGTTAACATCAGGTAAAAACTTCATGGTGTGTTCTGATAGCTATCTTGTTAGCTGTTGTCTCCCTGTGATTGGCAGGGCTGAGGAACCCTTATGCTCAAAAGGTGCCATGCTGCAGGAGGCCAGTTGGGGGAGCCTTAGCCCCAAGTCAAGGCAGGCTGAAGGAAGCAGAGGCTGCTGAGACAAGACTGAAGTCCAGTGAGTCCCGAGTCCATAGGGATGCTGGTGAATGAAGAGGTTAGGAAATGGGTACAGGTAGTTAGGAATAGGGTGCCCCAAGCCCATTTATAATCTGAACAGTCAGTGGGAATCAGGAGGTTGCCCCCCAGGCTCAGGTGCCCTACATCCATTCATCAGTCTGATTGAGGAACAAACGTGAGACCAACAGGGCACCCAGAACCCAGTTATAAACATGGAATGTTTGGACCACCAACACAATAACACAATGCAAAAGCAACGGGCCAAAGCTGGTTTCGGCAAGGCAGGCCACATAACATGGGAAACTTGGTAGGCCTCAGTAACCTGGGAGACCCCATAGGCGCCAAGAGACTCAACTCGGAGAAACCCACTAGCCAAACTCCCACTCCTTGCACACTGTGTCAGCTCTTGCTTTTCAGCCTTTGGCGGCTCCCCATTTGGGACCTCTCTCTGTTCAGAGATCTTTCCTGTCCTTTTCTCATACATATATCAATAAATCTCTTTGGTCTCGACGTGGAATTCTTTCCTCGCTGAAGACAAGAACTAGAGAGCCATAGGGGAGTCCCTGGATGCTCCTGGCCACACTCACTGGGCTGGATTGGGTGGCCACCACGACCTTTGCTAAAGATTGCAGAACCCCTGTGCATGGCAGTGATGGACAAGGAGAGACCGTCATGCCTTTGCCCCAGTGCAAGGTATCCCATGCAAGCTCAGTTTCTCCCACAGCTTCCCGGAAACAGCTGGAGTGATGTGATCTGGAAGTGCAAGGATGCTTGCTCCTATAGTGTGTGCCTGGGCCAGTGGGGGACGGAATGGGTGCACATGCTTATCCATGCATGGGAAATGCATAATGCTGAGTCCCCGGTAGTTAGAAAGTATGGGGCTTAGAGATAGCCTATAAACAAAATAAATACAGTTATTAATTCTAACCTCTAGAGAAAACTACCATAAATATTTTGATATAATTACTTACAGGTTATTTTTTGCTATGCATGCTTGAAATATAAAATTACAAAACTGAGATTCTACTATAGAAGACTTTATATTGCTTTCTATTTATTTATATATTTTTAAAGTATTTGAACTTTTAAAAAAAAAAGATTTATACAGGAGCTGGGTTGCAGGCCAGAGGGGCAGGGGGTGGGAGGATTCACCAGAGGCAGAGTGGGGAACAGAACAGGTAGATCTACTGAAATACACTGCCAAGGGTAGCAGTGGGTATACAGGAGTGGTCTGCTGTGCCATATGGGTTAGTTCCCTGGCCGGGGATTGAACTTGTGCTGCAGTGGCTGCTGATAGCTTCATAGTGCTGAAACTTAACCCATTGCACCACCAGGGAGCCCACAGATTTGAACTTTTTAAAGATTTTATTTATTTTTTATTTTTGGGTAGAACAACTGGGGTGTAAGCCAGAGGTGTGTGTGGGAGTAGGTGGAGAGGATTCACCAGAGACAGAGTGGGGAGCAGTACAGGCAGATCTACTGAAATGCACTGCTGAGGGGAGCAGCTGGAAAGACAGGAGGACTGCTGCCCCATGTGGGTCAGCTCACTGACTGGGATGGAACTCTGAGGTCCTCACCACGACAGTGCTGAGACTTAATCCCAATCCCTATGCCACCAGAGAGGCCCTGTGTTGCTTCTTAAAAGCATGATATTCTTTTACGTTTTCCCGTGATTAAACTTTTTTTTGAAAACAAATTTTTAATGAATTAAAAAAATTCAGTCATATGAATTTACCATTTAAACTTTGTTCCATGGTTCTAGCTTTATTTTATTAAAAATGCTGAGATTAAATTCCTTATCCATGAACCTTTGTGTATAACTCTGACTTTTTCTCAGAGGTGCATTCCCAGGGAGGGTTCACTTGATCCCAGGGCTTCACCGCGCCTGAGAAGGGAGGAGGCTATGGGCTGCTGCTCCTGTTTTCCCTGTGCCTGGCCTGCCCTGTTTTCTCTCCTCCCGTGAGTGCATCAGCTGGTAAGTGGGCTGAGCAGCCTCCAGGCTGCTGAATTCCTGCTGGTTTGGTGCAGCCTCTGTGTCCGGGGGTGGCCTGTGTGTGGACCTTGTGACCTCCTCTTCTCTGCTGCAGCGACCTGTTTGCAGCTGCAAGTGAGAGCCAAGCATCTCTGCACCTCTGGTCAAAGCTCCAGGATAGAGGCTCTTCTTATTGTTGCCTGGAGACATTTCCCTTTGTCCCAGCACAGGGATGGAGGGGTGGGGCTGTTACTACTGTCACCTAGTGGCAAGAGGGCAGGGTGCTCTAAACATCCTGCACCTTGTCATTCAATGTTCTCAGTGATTCTGGACATCTCTGAAAAGAAATCAAAGTTGGAACAGGGTATAGGCAAAGAAGGATCTGCTGTAATTTTTTGTTTGAGATGGAGAAATGGAAACTAACTCTCCAGGAAAACTCTTCCTTCTGTTCCTTATATTTTCTTCATTATATTCTTCCTATCACTGTCTCTTTTACACATGTGTGCGCGCGCACACACACACATACACACACACACACACACACACGCGCGTCATAGCTTCCAGGCTGCCTGGGCTGGGTATCAGGTTCTACATACTGGGAGAAACGAGAGGCAGGGAGAGGGGACATTCCCTCAGGTCTGGCAGTGAGGTCTTTATTGAGGTTTATGGAGGAATCTTTTTGAGGCTTGTGGATGTGCTAGAACTACAACAGGAAATGGAGGCAGCTGGAGAGTGAGTGGAACAGGGAACCTGCTCAAATCCAGTTCAGATTTCTTCTCAGGCTGGCCGGGCTTCAGGGTTAGTTCTCCTTCAGGATCTCATTGATCCAGGGCCGGTAATGGGAGATCCTGGTGTAGACAGCGGGGGGCTGGCCATCGGATCTCCCATAGGACACGATGCCCTGGGCCACCCCAGCACACAGCAGAGGGCCTCCTGAGTCTCCCTGTGGATTCGGAGGGCAGGAAAGGGAGGAGACAGGGAGGGAGGGAGAGAGAGACAAAAAGATGAGCCCGGGAAGTCCTTCACTCCTGTCTGACCATCCCAAGTCCAAGTAGGGTCATACCCTGGAGCCTGGCTCCTCGTGGGGTCATCTACCTTGTCCATGCCCGTGCAGGGCCTGGAGGGCCGTCAGGGGCTGCACGGGGCCACGCAAGAGGCTCCACAGAGAGACATTCCCGCCTCCCAGTGCCATGATCGCAAAGCCAGCGCTGCCTGGCATCCTTCACCCCATCTCCTTCAGGAGAGTCTAGTCCCTGCAGAGTGATTTGTGGAGAAGCATGGTATTCCAAGGATCACCTTAAACGCAGACTTTGTCTTCCTGGAATTGCCCACGCACAGCTGGAGATTGTGGTCAAACTTGAGGAAGTGTCCGCAGGCCTGGGGTTCCAGGACTCTCAGCTTCACCTCTTGCAGAGTGTGGGAGCCCGGGCCGGACACGTTTGTTCTTCCCCAGCCGGCCACCCGGCACATCTTCCCAGGTGGGATGACATTGAAATGGGGTGCCAGGGGAGAGTCCCCACTGCCAGGGTCAGGTTGGCTTTCTCCTTGAGCTGTGAGGGGAATGAGGGGCTGTCAGCTCTGGACAAGGGACCGGGGGCAGTAGAGGAGCTGGGAGGGACAGCACCAATGGTGCCACGGGAGGGTCACATCCAGGACTGAGCTGCTGGGGTGCAGTCTGGAGGCAGGTTGGGAGTATGGGGACCCGCAGGAGAAAACTTGAGACGACAGGGGGTAGGGAAGGGAGGAACACATCGTCACCTTCAGTAACATGATGTCGTGCTGGACACTCATATCGTCATAGTTTGGATGAGGAAACTGTCTTATGACCTCGAGCTGCTGCCATGTGTCTTCCTTATGTTTTGTGTCATGGGCCCCCAGGACCACCACTATGAGCCTGTTGTGAGGGGACGGAACGACAAGGGGAGACAGTGATGGTCTGAGATGTGCCCGTTCTGGGGAACAGGAAGTGGAGTCTTTCACTGGGTCACCTGATGCTGCCACCCCTCTTCTCTTGGTCCACTTTTGGCATTGGGGGGCTCAGGTATTGCTCGGGGAAGAGAGTTTTCAGGGAACAGAGATAATTTCCAGGACCTTGGAGTAGCTGGGGACTGAGCAGAGGCCATGGAGGACCCAGCAGGGTCAGCACTTCCTAATTCAGGGCGCCCTGTAGGAGCACCACCCACACAGGAGCAAGAGAGTTCAGAGGAGAGGCGAAAGTATGGGGTCCCAATTGGACCCCGTTCCCTGACTCTGATGGAAGGATGGGTTTAGGTTCTTGAGAAGGGCGTAGATAGAGTGTCCCAGAGAACTGGGTGGGGCCCAGTATCTTATGTGTTGGGGTCTGGCAGGGGTGGGGGTACCTTAGGAGCGACTCTTGATACCTCTCCTTTTCCTTTGGGAAAGGAGTTGTGTTCTCAATGACTGAGGATCAGGCCATCTCTTCAGTGATGTTTGCCCAAGTTTGCCTTCTCTTAAGGCTGACCCAATCCAAGGGCCTCTCCTCTGGTCCCCCAAGGGTGTGCTCCTGGTTCCTACTCTTGCTCTTTAACCCTGGTTTGGGGTAGACAGCCCTGAAGTCTCACCTTCCTGCACAGTGGGCAGCTGTCAGCACAAAGTTCCTTCTTATCAGGAAGCCGCCGCATGTGGCTAGGTTACCCTGAGGAAGGACAATTTCCAGATAGGCCATGTAGGGGCGGGAGTGTGGCCTGGACTCTGTGCCCCCGATGATCTCCCCTGGAACAGAGAACCCAGGCCTGAGCACAAGCATCGGTGTTCTCTCTGCAGAATGCGCAAGCTGGGCTCAAGAGGGAGAGGCTTCTTACTCACCCTCACCCTGTGCACTGCCCATCCTCCCTCAGGTGTCTGGCGCCTCCTTCCCCGCCCACAGCCTCCCACTGAGTTGTCCTCCCATCATGGAGGCGCAGCAACCATGCAGGTGTTGCTCATCTTGGCTTTCCCCCACTCCCATTCTGCCCCTGCCTCAGCCCTCCTTTTCACTAAGCCAGTCTCTCCAGGCTCCTGTCTCATCCTTCTGCACAGCCCGTGAGTGGTGTCCGAACGGCCATATTACCAGACAACGTGTGGTCTGGAAAGGAGAGGTTGAAGGGGGCCTAGGCCCTCATACATGCTCTCACCTTCTGTGTTGAGAAGACACATGTCTCCTTTTCTACTTGCTCTGGGATGTCCCCCAATCAATGTGGGGTTTCTGGGAACTATTACAGGCTGCAGACAATGGGTGGGCACATCCCAAGTGGAAGCTTCCACTCTGGCTCTTGGAGAGAGAGCCTGGAACCCTGTTTGAGAGTCAACTCTATTCAGACTAAACTTTGTTGTAGGAGCTGATCCTACAGCTTTGGGTGGAAAGGGCCCGAGACTCACCAGCTTTGGCCCTGGAGCACAGGACAGCGAACAGCAGGGTGAGAGGAAGACGATGCATCTTCTCAGAGAGGCTGCCCATAGCGAGTGCTGCTTCTATTTTCCAGCTGTGGGTTTTATAATCCATCAAGCCAGGGCAGGGCAGGGCAGGCTGATAACCACAGGAACTGGCTGGTGATTTTCTTCCCTCATTTAAACTGACTGTCTTTCAGATCAGCAGCTGCCCCAGAGCTGCCATCTGTTTTATTATAAGTGAAGGGAGGCCTGAACTTCCAAGACCTGGCTTCCAGGGTAAACGCTCAACTGTGGTACCTCATGGGGCACATGGAATCTAGGGAAGAGATGAGTTACTCATACAGCTCTGCCTGACCACCTGACACATCCTATTCTTGAGTTGCATTCCATCCTCCACTGCTCCCTCAGCTGCCCACGTATTCTCTTTGAACAACCTAGCTTAGGCCCCCAGGGAAACTGAAAACTTTGGAACTGCCTGTGGTCTTGATTTTTTCCTCTCCCAACTATTGTTGAACAGAAAATACAACTGAAAGCTCCCTAAATGTTACCTGGAGCCTTGGTCCTATTGCAACTACTGATCCTCATCTGTGTCATTAATCTCACAGAATTTACTTCCCTTCACACTACTCCAACTTACCAAACGTATCTGCAGGCTAGCATGTGCCATTCAAGAAACAAAGAATTATCTAGTGTTATGTCTAAGAATTCTTTGTCTGACTCCAGGTGACAAAGATTTCTTTTATTATTTTTTTCTACATGTTTTATAGTTTTATATCTGGGTTTACGACCCATTTGAGTCAATTTTTATAAAAGCTGTGAGACTTAGGCTGGAGTTCTTTTTTCTTTTCTTTTTCTTTTCGCATACGGTATCAGGAAAAAGAGCTGAGGCAATGTTGATAAAGTTGCTCCAGAGGGGCCCTCACTGGAAGGCAGTTCTTTTCCTTGAATTTTGCCTGGCTTTGATTAAATGTCCGCTTTACTACTACAGCGCTGACTCATCGAGACTGTGGGCCTGCAAGGACAATTTGCCTTCCATGTCTTTTAGACCCCCCTGGAAAAATACCAAGTAACAGCACGGTATTAACTTCACCCATTTCCAGCTTGTAGAAATGCATTTCCTTGGCCCTAACTTGCCCTTTGCTCATGTCTGCTTGGCTCCTCTTCATCTTGGTGGAGATGCCTGGCAGTGTCCTTCATGATGGTGACTTTGAGTAAAAATTCATCTGAACTCTTGCGAGGCCAACTGGAGGCCAGATATGATGCACAGAGACTCACAGATGTGCTGGTCCAGGCGGGGCTAGGGTGAGGCCATGAGTTGATGCTCTCTCTCAGGGTCTGCAAGAGCTCCCCCAAGCAGCTGTCTTCTTCAATTTGCACCCAGGTGCCTCCCTGGCCTGGAGGCAAGTTTCCTGCAGGGTGGCAGTTTCTTGAAGGCAAAGGCTGCAGTGATGGAGCAGAGCAGGAAACTGGGTATAAAGACAGGAGTAAAGTGTGTATGGAGCAGGAGTAAAGTGCTGTTAGTCTCATTACTGTGGAAAAGAATTTTCTGACACAGACAGGAGCTACCCTCTCTAAATATATGTTTTTAGGGCCTCCCTGGTGGCACAGGGGTTAAGTGTCAGCGCTATCAAGCTATTGCCAGCCACTGTGGCCTGAGTTTGATCACATTCTGAGGTGCTGGGAATTAGAATGTCAATATATATATTTGGCAGGGACATAGTGCAGCCGTAACAACTGCTTCAGTACGCACACATGCCAGCCCACTATGTGGTGCAGGATGATATGAATTTAAAAATGGCCAGAGAAACTGGGGGTGCAGGAGAGACAGCTTGCAGGTTCGCAGGGGAGGGTATAGTACTAGGACATGAGTTGGTAGAAGTGATATTTTCCAGTGAGGTTTTAGGCCTGGGGCTCAGCAAAGGTGGCTTTGAGATGGCCTGGGGAGAGAGTCTTGGCCCACCATGCTCCTAAGGGTGCTAAAGATGCATATTATATTGGGAGGAGCAGGCTCTTTAGCATTTCCCCAAGTTCCCCACAGCCTCTAGGGGCTTCTTTCTGTGAGTTCGACTAACTTATCTGGATTGTATCTTAGGTAGAACAGTGTTATTGGGGCAGTTTCTCCTGCTGACTGTGTGCTGCTGAGACCTTTATCATCCTGTTGTGGGTCAGATGGGCCCATCCTTGAGCCTCATCCTCCAACACTTCAAAGTTAACCCTAGTGCGCTGATTACAAGCTTATCCTTTGTGCTTATCACCAGCTACTCTTTCCACGGCAGGGGTCTGAGTGACACTTGCTGGGTCTGTAGGTCATCATACAAGTCGATGACGGAACCCTGCAGTCCTGAATGCATGCCTGATGGTGGACACCTGGAATAGGGTGTGGGCATGTGTAGATGGGATTCACCTGGGCTAAGACTGGGCTTTTAGGGCAGCATCAAGGGGATGCCAGTAGAAGCTGAGAACCCAAAGAACCCAGCACCCCTGCCTGCCGTGTACCTGATAAATCCCAACAACAGCCTGCAAAAGTCACTGAGGGCTCCAGGACTCTCTCCTCCTTTACCCCGTCTGCTCTGGTCATAGAAAACCTGCAATGTGTCATTCCTGCCCCTGCAGGGAGGTTCCAGGTTTCCTGCCCCACCCAAAAGGAGGGTGGAGCTGAGCAGGGAGAGAAGAAGCTGCAGAGGAGACTGAGGAAGGAAGGAAGCAGGATGGAGAGCCAGAAGGAGAGCTGGAGGAGGCACATGGAGCTGAGAGACATTGAAGAAACTGCATTTTCCTTTTGGTCGTGGACTGGGTGACACAGATGTGGGTGAGAAACCCATGGGGAGGTGACAATGGCGGTTTTTGTCTTGATTTTGCTATTTTCCTCCCAGACTTGTCTGGTTGTTTCTGATCCTTTTCTGTGGGTCCCCACTGGAAGATGCTTTAGACTTGTGGCAGGCTTTGGGGCTTTGTTCTGGGGCAATCCTGCTTGGGTGGACTTTTACCCATGAGGGGATGGGTAACTTTGGGTGCTTGATTTGGAAACTACATTCTTTGCCTTTTCTGTATTGTTTATTAATTATATTAAAATTCCTTTTCATTAAAGTCTCATATGTTTTGTGTTGATGCAGCAGTTGGCAGAACCTATTTAGAGCAGGCAGGTTTGCAGGGTTGGGGGTACCCCTCTCCCTGCCCTGTAACAAAACCATCATACACAAAAAATAGGCAACCTATAGGGAAAAATATTTGCATATCACATATGTGATGAGGGGCTAATTTCCATAAAATACAAAGTACTTAAAAAAAATCCAACAACGGAAAAAGCAGACAACCCAATCAAAAAATGGGGCAAGGCCTAAATATTTTTCTAAAGAAGACATTCACAAGGCCTGCAGACATGTGAAAATTTGTTCAGCACCACTTATTATCAATAGAAGGGAAATGCAAATAAAACCACAATGAGGTACCCCCTCACCCCTGTGAGAATGACTCGTATAAAAAAGAATGAAAACAATGGATGTTGACAAGGATGTGGAGAAAAAGGCACTCTCATTCACTGCTGGTGGGAATGCAAGTTGGTGCACCCTTAATGGGAAATGCTATGGAGATGTCTTAAGAAAATAAAAATGGCTATCTCATATGATCTGGCAGTACCTCGGCTAGAAATTTATCAAAAAGATATGAAAAGTATAATATGAAAAGACTAAATGTACGCTATGTTCATAGCAGCACTGTCCACAATAGCTAACTCATGATACCAAACCAAGTCCCATCAACAGATGAATGATAAGCTGTGGACTATGTACTCAATGAAACACTATACAACTATTAAAAAGATGAAACAGTGTCTTTTGGGACAAAAGGAATGGAACTCAAGGTGATTTTGTTAAGTGAAATAATTCAGGAAGTGAAAGACAGATATCAGATGGCTCTGCTCATCTGTGCAATATAGATAATGAAAAAACATACACAGGCAAAGGAGGAGTGAATCTTGGAGTTAGTGAAAGTCCAGTATTGCCTCTATTCTGCCAGGGGAAACAGGAGGGTGGGAGAAGGGGAAGGCGTAGGGAGGAAGATGGGGTATTGGACGGGTGGCTTGAGAAGGGTGAGTGGGACATGAGCACTTATAGAGGAGTGAAAATATAACCCCCAAATTAAATAAACTAATGGGAAGAGACTCAGCATGTTTTTCCTACTCTCTCTTAGACCACAAGCCTGGAACAGACCTGGCACTTATTCAAGATATCCGCTGGCAAGATACTTCCAAGAGGGACATGAAGACATGAAGCTATAGACGAGTAGTTAGCAGCTGATTTAGCTCTAGCAAAGGCTGTGGGGCAGCTGGTGGACAAGGGCTGAGCAGCCCTACTCCAGTGGGAGGTGTGTCTAAGGTGGGAGACCATCTGTCACCTTGTCACAGGTGCCATGAGGATTAGGTGGTTACAAACTGGTCCTCCTCGAGGCCCTGCTGCAAACACACAGGGGAGCTGGCAGACAGGACCCGGCGGGGACAGAGCCCAGAGCAGACATCCCGCTGAGCTATAGCTACAGGGAGACTAAGGAGGGGACTCAGGGAGAGGTGGGGCTGCTGGGACCCGGCCTACGTCAGGTGTGGGAAGTGGGGCACAAATGCTTCTTCCCAGGCCTCTGCCTTGGAGGTTGGGCTGGGATCCAGGAAGGAGCCAAGGTCTCCCTAAGGGTCTCTGGGAAGTGAGTTCCATTGTTCTGTTGGGAGACAGTCCCTCCTGGTGGCCAGGCAGAGGGACCACCTTTGCTGCTGTGGATGGGCAGGGGAGGCACAGGTGGGAGCTGGTGGCATGTGGTGGCAGAGGGGAGGGGTTGATGGGAAGACAGGAGAAGATGGGGAAAATGACCTGGTACGTGGATGATTTCATTCAACAGACAGAGAGAACACAAATACTCTCACTGGGCAATGGTGTTTATTAAGAGTCAGTCATACCCACATAAGTGCAGAAGGAGACCACGAACAGGTGGTAGTGGTCTAGTTATCCCTGGAGAGTTTCATTGTTCTGTGGATCCAGGGCACAAAGCTGGAGATCCTGGTGAAGACCCGGGG